CACCGAAACCAAAGTGTAACCCGTGAACGGCCAAGAGGACTACCAGGTTCGTAACCACCGCCATGGCGTGCGCTACTGATGTTGCGTTTCGACGACGACGAGACTGCCTCCTGCTGCCTTGGTATTGAGCGCCTTCGCAGTGGGGTTGTCGGGGGCGTAACCAAATCGTAAAGGTGTCGCCGCCACCTCCTTCTTTCCTGTTGCGTCGTCACAGGTCTACTGTCGCCGTTAGCTGCTTTTGTGACACCTTCGAGCTCCATCCGTTGCTGCCATCAATGATTGTATGTGCTACCGTCGCTGTCGGCCGCCATACGCCACCAAGAGGGTGGCTGGGTTATTTTTGCAACCGGGTGAGTGTATGTAGCTGTATTTCCACTGTTGGTGTGTGATGTGTGTACTTGGGAGGTTTGTTTCGCCGGAAAGCAAGTGCACCACCATGGCAGCCAACCATGGTGGTTGCCGCCGGTTATAACTTTTCTGCCACCACCGACCACCATAGGGATGGCTGTGTGTATGCGCGTGTGTTATTTTTAGTGTGTATGTGTGTGTCTATTATCGAGTTGTACATTGTAATGGTGTCAAAATGATAATAGAAATCTCGAAACCACCACCGTGAGGTGGTGGCTGCCGCCTCCTGCCGCCACCGGCCGCCGTGTCGGGTGGCGGTGTGCCTCGTTGTATGGTGACTCGTTTGTGGTGTTTGGACAAGGGACATAAACCCTAATGGGCCCAATGAAGCCCTAATTGACATTAAAGCCCAAACACGTGTCTAATGGGTTTAATGGACCCTAATGGATCTAAGGACTTAGCTAATGGGCCTATTGGGCTAAGTTGGGTTGGAAACCCTAAATAGGGTTTGGAAAACCCTAATGCCATGAAACCCTAATTTGGGGTTTATCGGGATCGCATCGGGATTAATTAATGAACTCATAATATTAATTAAAAATCATTGCAATCAACCTCAGTCAACATTGGACTTAATGGATTAAGTAGGAAACTTAACCCTAATCACCATTTTATGAGAAACCCTAATTTCACTTGGGTCTATAATTGGGCCATAGTTGGGCCTTAATGATTATATGATGTTGGGCCTTAGAATAAGAGCATGTATAGGCCTGGGCCCAATTTGGAAAATTGGGCCATATGTTGGTCTTTGATTTCTAATTGACTTTGGGCCTATGGCTTGGGCCTTGGGCTTGAATAAGCCAAGTTAGGGGTAATGTAGTTATTACCCAAAGAATGTACTTATGGTTATGTAGTGGAACCCAATTATTAATTGGGTGATGTTTGATGTTGACAGTTCGGGAATCTGTCAGCCAGCAGTTGGGGTTGAGTCTGCGGGACTTCAGCAGTGTGGGATTGTGCCTACGGGACTTCAGCAGTGTGAGGTGAGTTACCTTCCAGTAGGGGTGGGTCTAAGGCCACAATGCCGACCCACCAATAGGGGTAGTTGGTAGATAATTGTCTTTGTGATAATTATCTTGGTATGTTTATGAGATATGCTTATGTGATGTGCTTATGAGATATGTTTATGTGATATGCTATGTGTGTTAGTGGTAGTAGCAGGGAATAGTTTTTCCCTGACTCGGTCGTTAGGATCGAAGGGTAGGTCAGTACCCCATAAATGCCTGACTGTATGATTATATCATGATATTATATGATAGTGGTAGGGGGTGAAATAGTCCTCGAATACCGGTTAAAAGATACCGATGGCGGATACCGGTTGAAAGATACCGATGGCAGTTACCGGTTGAAAGATACCGAAGGGGTATACAGAACCCATGCAATGCTTATCTGTATGTTTATGATATGTTAGTATGTGATAAGTATGTTTTATGATATGTTAGTATGTGATTAGCATGTTTATGATGTTAGTACGTGATCAGTATGTTTATGACATATTATTATGTGATAGTGGTAGAGGTGAAATAGTCCCCGGTTACCGGTTGAAAGATACCGATGGCAGTTGTCGGTTGAGAGATACCGATGGTATTATGTGGTATGTGGTATGATGGGGGAACTCACTAAGCTTCGTGCTTACGGTTTACAGTTTTGGTTTCAGGTACTTTGTTTCAAAGGAAAGGAGTCGGCTTGGTCGCAGCGCATCACACTATGTTTTCCGCACACGAGATCCTTGGGATTATTCTCTTATATGGTTTCATAATATTATATTTTGATTATTCACACTTTGGTTTTATGTAATAACCTAATTAAAAATGAAATTTTTGGCCTTGAATTTTGGGATGTTACACGAAGACTCAGGGAACCTCTTGCTGAGTGCAAGAGAAACAAATGATCGAGTGGCACCTGAATCGAACAACACCTGTACTGGGATACCGTTCGCATGGAACGATCCTAAACAAACATACAATATTACATATCAATATCATAAACCACATATAATAAAATCTAGAGAGAAGAAATCATTGTTGGGTTATGAGCATTCTAACACTCCTATGGTGTACATGCAACCCTAGAAACCTTGGATCTATGTTTTATCTATAAAACATGCAAAATTGATGTTCCAAGGTTCTTAACCAATCTAGCATAAAAAGGAACTTTTTAATCATAAAAGATAGTAAGAAAACATACCTTGTAGTGATTTGGATTCCTTGAAAACCTTGTGAGCCTAGCACCCCAAGTGTGATGCCTCAAATGTCTCACACAACACCAAATGCACTTGGAATAAACCTTGAGAGAAATGTCACACTCTTGAAATTGGTTAGCCCTCTTCTTACTTGCTTAAGTTCCGATTTTGGTGATCAACATATTGCTTATATAGTGTGTCATAATTAGGGTTACACCATGTAAACCCTAATTTGACATGGCTCTTCATTTCCATGATCCATGGGTTCAAAGACACCATGAAGCATCCTATGGGTTTTAGCCCAACTTGATAATCCATGGAGCATAAGCCCACTATACAAGTATGGATGATTTACACAATCAACCCATATATTTAATTAGTCTTCTTTTGATCACTTAATTAATTCCAAATTAATTCTTGATCAATACTAATTAAATAATCCTATTAATATATTAGAACTTATAATATATTAATAAACCATAAGTGTTATTTCTCTCATTTTAGTCTATCCAAATGCATGATGCCATGCAACCCAAATGGACCATGCTGATCGGGTCAAGTACATCCCATAATAGTTATGAACTTAGACACCTAATCCAACAGTCTCCCACTTGGATAAGTCTAATAACTATATCTGCAAGAATAACTTCAGAAACCGATCAACAATCGTAGCTCTTTCAAGGTCTCGCGGAACTGAGTTGACGATGATATTCCATTTAAGATAAGTGATCATATAATCCTCTGTTCTAGATATCAGCCGGACAAATACATGGAACAATGTCTTACTTATTGTCCAGCAGTTTGTTTCCCGATTTCCTATTTGTTTCACATAGAACTTAAGTGAACAGATCAACTTAGTTCTGACCGGGCCCGGTACATGGGTCAACACAAAATCATTGAGGGGGCCAGATATCGCTTCTAATCCAAGAAGGAGCAGATAAACTTCGACTCATATGCTTGTTCTTCTACTTGATGAATCATACACAAAGGTACGTTTTATAACATCGAGTTACCAATGCGTTTTCGTACGATCAATGTATAACCAACTCATAGGCAACAAGTTATATCTTTAGGTTTGAAGATTTATATGATATTACCATCTCACGATCACTCAAGATAAATTCCATGAAGTGATACCAGTGAGCGTGGGTTGAATCCAATACTCAGAACTTATGAGCACCCATGAGTGTTGTAGCACCACTTTGTCCAACATCTTAGACCTCTACAAGCCAACCCATGACAGTCTTGATTCATATCTACTTCCAATATATGACCGACTGTGGATGATTTGAATAACTTAGTCATTCTTGAAGAGTGACTTAGTTATTCTGGAAGTCAAAACATGCAAAGTGAAACACAAGAATAATCGAATCCAATATGGTCTCAGAACTTATGAATATAAATAAAACATCTTTTATTTATCACCATATTGATTACCCATCATTCATTGCATACTGTTTCAAACTATCAACTTTATACTTGAATTAAAAAACAATAGTTGTCTCATGCTCCGAGAATGTACACTATGTTTTTCCTATGATCTTTACTCTGTGAAATAGATCAATTGAACATGATTCCAGTGATACTCATTTCACAATCCCAAATCTTTACCGCAAATGAAAGAATTCCAAATTCCTGCCATTTACCTAAATCTGTTAGATTCTAAACTTATATGCATTCGTCCTCTTATTTGTTTTATTGACTATTAACTTTTTTTTATTGACCACTAAATTTCATTGAAATATAACTTATTTGTTTTCTATAGACCAATGACCATACAATATAATATATTTTGAGTGACCAAATATATTTTTATGTTATGGGCAATTAAACTGCTATTTATTAATCATATTTCATTTTAGCCCTTTAATTATATTTTATTTTAAATATTTTTTATTTATTTACTAATCAACTATTTCTATCAAATACATAATGACATTTTATTTATGAAACATAAATTTATAACGATTGTATATTACTTTTAAATCTATTTTATAACTATGACATATTAATTACTTCATATTAATTTTTCCGAACGATGTATTGTAAAAATATTCCTTCGAAACAATATATTGTAATATTTCTAATTATTTAAAATAAGATGTGTTTAAAAAATAACTAATTAAAATGATGCGAATTTTGTAGAACATTTTAAATAGATATGAATAAATTAGTAAGGTATTGTGGTTAAAAAGCTAAAAAAGTTTCAAAAATAAATTAGATTTTATATTTTTAAAATATTCTTTTTGAATCTAATAAAAAAACTATTTTGAGTTTGCTGAATATTTTTTCACTAGTTGGTTTTTTAGTTTGAAAAATACTTTTTTTTTACTAAGTGGACTTATTGGTTTTTCAAAATAATAAGTTTTTTAAAACGGAGATGCTCTTTAAATCATATTAGTAGACAATGACTTGACAACTCACATATGCACAGACAAGAAGCATCGTACGCATTCGTTTGTAGCGAAACCACACACATCCACTCCTACACACACCGACACTCAATTTATACATATAATCATACATCAGATAATGTTTCACCATCATAGCATACTCTAAAGTCTAAAGGTACGTAACAGTTCGATGACATTAGCTCTTTTTGTTCTTTTGACTAGCAACACTATACCTTTAATTTCCTGAAACCTTTAATGGCGTCTTCATCTTCATCATCTGCTATACCAACTAGAATATGGACACATGATGTATTCCTAAGCTTTAGGGGAGAAGACACTCGCAACAGCTTTGTAGATCATCTTTATACGGCTCTAGATCAAAGAGGAATAAACATGTTCAAAGACGATCTGGCGCTCGATAAAGGGAAACCGATCTCCAGGGAGCTGCTGAAAGCCATTGAAGAATCGAGGTTTGCTGTGGTTGTTTTCTCTAAAAACTATGCGGACTCTTCATGGTGTTTGGATGAGCTTGTCAAAATCATGGAATGCCAAGATCAGATGGGACAGATGGTGTTACCGGTGTTCTATCACACAGATCCATCCGATGTGCGTGGAGTGAAAAGAGACTTCCACACTGCCTTTCAGAAACACCAGGGCAGGTTTAAAGGAGATATGGATAGAGTGAACAAGTGGAGGAAAGCTTTAGCTGCAGCTGCTGGTTTATCTGGCTGGCATATCAAGGAAACAGGCAATTATCAGTAAGTTTTCCTAGATCTGTTGCTTGACTTACTCACAGGAACTTATGAACACAGTATCTATCATTTTACCAGGTTACTGTGCTACCAATGACAAGGATCTTCTGCAAAACCATTTGTTATCCAACTGTATTATGTGCTAATTTCTTTCAACCGATTGAATTGCGATTTCATATATTTACAATTCTAGTCTTTCTGTAGTGGCGAATCTTGCTAGATCTACAGCTTCGTTACATACATGGACCTGTTGACATAGTTTATTATGTTCTATTAGATTATTAACGATAAGGATTTTGTTCAAAACCATTTGTGATCCAGCTGTAGGATGGACTAATTTTTATTAACCAATTTAGTTCGTTTTCATCTATTTAGCATGCTAACCTTAATTTCAAACCTGTACAGGGGAGAATCTGCCATCGTCATCGAGATTGTGGAAAAGATCTTATATGGTACACGACCATGTGATATGGAGAAAAATTTTAATTGGTATCAAGTCTCGTATAGAGGAATTATATTCATTATTGTGTATGGAAGCAGCAAAAAAGGTGCGCTTTATAGGGATATTGGGAATGGGAGGAATTGGTAAGACAACTATCGCTCAAGCTTTATTTCGAAGAATTGCTCATAAGTTTTAGGGTTGTAGCTTTGTTGAAGATGTCAGAGAAAATAGTTCTGGTAAAAAAGGTGTACGTGACTTACAAGAACAGATTCTAAGAGATACTTTAGTGACAGGTCGCCATGATTTTCCGAAGGGTCCTGAGCATGGAGCCAATGTGATACGAAGACGACTTTGCAAAAAAAAGGTTCTTCTAGTTCTTGATGATGTGGATGATGTTGAGCAGTTAGAGTTCCTAGCTGCAACACATGAGTGGTTTGGTCCTGGAAGTAGAATCATTATAACCACTAGAGATGAGCGTTTACTATTAGATGCAAATGTCATTTACATGTTGGAATAATTCAGAAATTAGTTTTTAAAATTAGTTTATGTCATGTTTTTGTGTTTTGAATAATTCAAAGTCATGTGGGCTATTGAATCCGAGTCTTATGCCACTAGGGGTAGTTGGAGTCTTTTTAGCTTTTTTTTAGTTTAAATAGCTTTGCAGTATGTACGTTGAGGTGATCTCTCCAAATTTCAATTCAGTAAACATAAAGCTTTCAGCTTTAACCATTGTGCTCTGTTTTTTCTTTTCTTGCCCTGTTACTGTTCCATTGTTAAACAAAGGTTGCAGGCTTGTGAGAAGCCTTCATTTGGTATCAGAGCATACCTGGTACATGCCCAAGTATCAACCTAGAAAAGAAGAAATGGCAGGCAGTGGCAGCAATGGGAATGGTGACAAAGACGGGCAAATCACCTTGCACTACCCGATGTTGACAAGAAGCAATTCCAGCGCATGGGCAATCAAGATGAGGGTCTTTATGTTGGCCCAGGGTGTTTCGGATGCAGTAGAACCCAGAACAGCCAACACTCTTGTTGAAGCAAAGAAGGACAATATGGCCTTGGCTGCCATTTATCAGGGGATACCTGAGGATTTGCTCATGACATTGGCGGAGAAGAAGACTGCCAAAGAAGCCTGGGAAGCTCTCAAAGTTATGTTTGTAGGGGCAGATAGGGTGAAGGTTGCAAGGATTCAAACACTCAAGGCTGAATTAGAAGCCATGAGCATGAAGGAAACGGAAAGTGTTGATGACTTCACCGGAAAAGTCATCAACACAGTCAGCACATTACGAACCTTGGGAGATAAGGTAGAAGAATCTCAAGTTGTGAAGAAGTTACTGAGGGCAGTATCGTCCAAATTTCTTCAGATTGCCTCGACACACGAGCAATTTGGAGACTTGGAATCAATGTCCGTTGAAGAGGTGATCAGGAGACTCAAAGCATATGAAGAACGCATGAAGAGCACGGGTGAAAGTGATGATCGGAAGCTCCTGTTAACTCATAAAGAATGGTCCGATAGAAATAAAAAGAAGTCAGATGGTGACTCAAAGCAAAGATCAAACCGTGGTGGATCGGGTGGAACACGTGGCGGTCGTGGCAGAGGTAGAGGAAGAAACGGAGGAGGACGTGGTGGTCGCGGTGGAAGAGGCGGAACATATCACCACAAGGATGGCAATCCCGGTGCATCAAGTAGTCGTGACAAAAGTGACATTCAGTGCTATAATTGCCAAGACTATGGGTATTATGCATCTGAATGTAAGAACCCACGAAAAGAACGAAGCCATGAAACAAACCTGATTCGAGAACACGGTGATAATGAGCCTGCACTACTGCTGTCATGCTGTGACAATGATGGAGAAATTGGTCAGGTGTTTTTAAATGAAGAAAAAATAACTCCAGAACTAAGGAAACAAGGAGATGATGTGAGAAGATCAAGTATATGGTATCTAGATACAGGAGCAAGTAATCACATGACGGGAGATAAACACAAGTTTAGAACTCTAAATGAAACAGTCCAGGGATATGTGAAGTTTGGCAATGAAGCAAGAGTTAGAATTGAAGGAAAAGGCTCAATTGTGTTTCAATGCAAGGATGGTGGGCAACGAAAATTGAATGAGGTATATTATATACCTGATTTATGCAGTAACATAATTAGTCTGGGCCAATTAGCGGAAGGCGAAGATGAAATCAGAATCAAGGATCCATACTTATGGGTCCATGATCCAGTTGGAAAGTTGTTAATGAAAGTTCGAAGAGCACATAATCGTCTTTACAAGATAGAGATGGAAGAAACAGGTGGGATGTGCTTAACTACTCAAGTTGATGATACTGTATGGCTGTGGCACAAGAGATTGGGCCATATCAACTTTAATTCGATGAAGAACATGGTGGATAAGAAGATGATTGAAGGAATGCCGGAGATAAAAGTTCCTTCACAACCTTGTGAAGGGTGCTTGGTTGGGAAACAAACGAGAAGTCCATTTCCTACACACACCAATTACAAAGCCAAGAAGAGGCTTTAACTCCTTCACGATGACTTATGTGGGCCAGTCACACCACCTACACCCTCAGGTTACAAGTACTTCATGTTATTAGTTGATGACTATAGCAGAGTAATGTGGGTTTACTTATTGAGATCAAAGGATGAAGCCCTGCAAATCTTCAAGAACTTTAGGGAGAAGGTAGAAATTGAAACTGGGGAAAAAGTGAAAGCTTTGAGAACAGATCGTGGAGGAGAATTCCTTTCTAATGAGTTCACCATGTACTGCAACAAAACCGGGTTGGAGAGACACTACACAGCTCCATACTCCCCACAACAAAATGGGGTAGTGGAGAGGCGAAATCGAACGGTTCTAGAGATAGTGAGGTGTAATTTGAAGACTATGGAGATGCCAGACGTATTATGGGGAGAAGCTGTGACACACTCTGTCTATGTTCTGAACAGAGCACACACCAAAGCGTTAAAGAAGGAAACCCCATACGAGATATGGACCGGGAGAAAACCACACATCGAACACCTCAGAGTATTCGGATGTGTCGCTCACATGAAGATCGCGAAAAGTCATTTGAAGAAGCTGGAAGACAGAAGCGTTTGTCTGGTTCATCTAGGAATCGAAAAAGGATCGAAAGCCTATAGGCTATTGGACCCAGATACTGGGAAATTGTATGTGAGTCGTGATGTAGTCTTTGAAGAACAAATAAGTTGGAGGTGGGAGAAAAGCGCAAAGATCAGAACAACGCCTGGCATGATCTTTACCGTCGAAGGTTTTGACTTTGACGAGGAGATATATGATGATGAAGGCGAGTGGGACGGTGAAGGAGAATGGGTCCCGGATACTCCAGATCAGCAAATTGGGTCATCATCGTCTAATTGGGCCGACGGTGTGCAGTCCAATGTATTGGGTCAATCACAAATAAGCCCATCGGGTAGTCCGATACCATCAAATACCCCAGTCGCACAGAATACTCCCATCACGATCGATTCATCGACTCAATCAGCGACTCCGAGCACCGATTCTAGCTCGACGGGTGGTGGTGCTCCAAAGCGATTCAGGTTACTTACAGACCTGTACGATAGCACCCAGGAAATTCATGTACCTCCTGAAGATTTGATGTTGATTCGAAACAATGAAGAACCCACATCATACCTGGAGGCTAGTAAGAAAAAGGAATGGCGAGATGCAATGGATGCAGAATTAGCATCGATTGAAAGAAACAAAACATGGAGGCTGGTCGATCTTCCAAAGAATCATAAGGCTATTGGCTTGAAGTGGGTCTTCAAATTGAAAAAGGATCCAAGTGGAAGAAATGTCAAGCACAAAGCCAGGATTGTAGCGAAGGGGTATGTCCAAAGGCACGGGATCGATTACGATGAGGTATTTGCCCCTGTAGCTAGAATTGATACAATACGCCTCATTTTAGCCCTAGCAGGTTCAAACGGATGGAAGGTTCACCATCTGGATGTCAAATCGGCATTCCTGAATGGAAACCTAGAAGAGGAAGTCTATGTTAGTCAACCTGATGGTTATCAGAAGAAAGGCTCAGAAGAAAGGCCAAGGACACAAGGTGTATAAGCTATCCAAAGCCCTTTACGGGCTCAAACAAGCCCCTAGGGCTTGGAATGCTTGCCTGGATCGACATATGAAGAACATGGGTTTCACAAGATGTGCCCATGAGTACTCTGTCTATACCAAGAGGTATGATAAACATGTCCTGATTATAGGGGTATATGTAGATGACTTAATTGTCACAGGGAGTTGCCCTAAAAGTGTTCAGATGTTTAAGAAGGAGATGAACACTAAGTTTGAAATGAGTGACCTGGGACTTTTGACTCACTACTTGGGGATTGAAGTGAGTCAAAAGGAAGATGGGATTACCTTAAAACAGGAGTCATATGCCAAAAACTTGCTTATCAAAACTGGTATGCAAGAATGTAATTCCACAAAGACCCCTATGGAACACAAGCTTAAGCTCTGGAAAGAAGATGAATCTGAATTGGTAAATCCCACAGAATACCGAAGTATAGTGGGTGGACTGAGGTACCTAACACATACCAGGCCAGACATAACTTTTGCAGTGGGAATTGTAAGTCGGTTCATGGAGAAGCCAACTATGAAGCACCTACAAGCAGTGAAGGGCATTTTGAGGTACATAAAGGGCACTCTAAACTTTGGTTTGAAGTACTCAAAAGGGAAGGAAAATGTCACACTAAAAGGGTACACAGACAGTGATTTGGCAAATGACGTCAATGATCGAAGAAGCACAGGAGGCATGGTATTCTACATGAATGAGAACTTGATCACTTGGGCTTCACAAAAGTAGAGGTGTGTGGCACTCTCCACCTGTGAAGCAGAATTTATGGCTGCCACCATGGCAGCCTGTCAAGGAATTTGGCTCAGGAGATTGCTCAGTGAGATAACCGGACAGAAGTTGCCATCTGTTGAACTGAAGGTTGACAACAAATCCTCACTATATTTAATGAAAAACCCTGTCTTCCACGGGAGGAGCAAGCACATAGATATCCGGTTCCACTTTATCCGAGAATGTGTTGAGAATGGGGACATTTTGGTCTCTCATATTTGCAGCAAGGAGCAGAAAGCAGATGTCCTGACCAAGTCACTGGGAAAACTAAAGTTTGAGGAGATGCGAAGTCTCCTTGGAATAATGGAGGTATGATTTCTGAATTAGGGAGGAGAATGTTGGAATAATTCAGAAATTAGTTTTTAAAATTAGTTTATGTCATGTTTTTGTGTTTTGAATAATTCAAAGCCATGTAGGCTATTGAATCCGAGTCTTATGCCACTAGGGGTAGTTGGAGTCTTTTTAGTTTTTTTTTTAGTTTAAATAGCTTTGCAGTATGTACGTTGAGGTGATCTCTCCAAATTTCAATTCAGTAAACATAAAGCTTTCAGCTTTAACATTGTGCTCTGTTTTTTCTTTTCTTTCCCTGTTACTGTTCCATTGTTAAACAAAGGTTGCAGGCTTGTGAGAAGCCTTCATTACAGACCTGATTTTTTATGTAAGAGTGAAGTTGTAGAGCTCTTCTGTAGGCATGCTTTTCGGAAAAGTAGCCCTCCTGAAGGGTATGAGGTTCTCTCAGAACGCGTAATACGATATGCCGGCTGCCTTCCTTTAGCCCTGAAAGTGTTAGGTGCATTCTTCCGTGGAGGAGAAGTAAGTGTGTGGGAAAGTGCTTTAGATAGATTAGCCGAAGTACCAGATGGTAAGATTCTTGACAAACTGAAGTTAAGTTTTGATGGGCTGCATGTTCTTGAGAAACAAATATTCCTAGACATTGCATGTTTCTTCAAAGGGAAAGAGTTAGAACATGTAACTAGAGTACTCGATAGTTTTGGTTATCACCCGGGGAAGGGGGTTAGTGTTCTTATTGAAAAATGGCTTACAACCGTTTCAAATAAAAAGCTAGATATGCATGATCTCATACAGGAAATGGGTTGGCAAATAGTTCTTGAGAGTTTCCTGGATAGCAGGTTATGGAAACTTGATCAGATCCATGATTTTATCAAGGGAAAGAAGGTAAAATTAATTACTGTCTTTAAAAGTTGTTTTCTTCGTTTCTATTCATTTATGTTTCTAGAATGGACTGGGCACATGGATTTGATCATAGCTAGTTCTTTGTAGCAGAAGCGAAAAACAATTGAAGCCATAATGATGATGGACAATGAATACCTTGTTGATGACTATGATGGAAACTTGGCTACTCGTGCTGATGTTTTTGCAAATATGAAAAATCTTCGGCTTCTTAATATTGATGGGAAATTCACTTCTACCATACCTTCCTTTCTCCCCGACGAGTTGCGATGGCTTCGTTGGACTGAGTACCCATTCTTGACTCTGTCGTTAGCAGATAGGTGGAAGCTTGTTGGGCTTGAAATGGCGGAAGGAGACCTCAAATATTTACGGAAGGGGGAAAAGGTATTTGGCTTTCTATTTGTATTGATTATGAAACGACCTCAATATTAAGTTTTTTTTTTTCAATTTTTGTTTTACTCGTCAGATTCTACCAAACTTGAAATTCGTTCACCTCGAATGGTTGTCCGGCCTCACATCATTTCCAGATGTATCTGGGGCCCCAAATATTGAGAGGTTAATCTTGTCAAACTGTTGGAAATTGGAGGATGTTCACGAGTCTCTTGGATCTCACAGAAGGCTTGTTTACTTGGATATGAATGGTTGCAGTAGGCTCATGCGTCTTCCATCCAGGCTTGAGATGGAATCCTTGGAGACTCTAATTCTCTCTGGATGCAAGAGTCTTGAAAGATTCCCGGAAGTCTCCCCATGTGCGGTTAAACTATCAGAAATAAATCTTGATTATTGCTCTAACATAATAGAGTTGCCGTCATCAATAAGATACTTGTCTGGATTAAGATTCTTAACTCTCGCAAACTGTGTGAAGCTTAGCAACATACCAAACTCAATTTGTGGCTTAAAATATCTCAAGTGCCTTCGTCTTCACAACTGCGTAAAATTGAAAAATCTTCCAAAGAAGCTTCAAAAAATGAAATTGTTAGAAGAGCTCTGGTTAGGATTTGATGACTTTAATAGGCCAGAGACGTGTGTTGGTTTTCATATTTTCAGAGCTTTGTCGTCGTTAAGAAAATTAGATCTCAGTCGGAGGCAAATTGGAGAGGAAAGTTTCCCTGAAAATCCTGATGCATTTTCCTCCTTAGAAGAATTATATTTAAGTGGCAACTCTAAATTAGTCCAGTTACCATCAATCATTAGCCATCTCTCACGTCTTAAACGCCTAGAGTTGAATCGGCACAACCAATATGAAATTTTGGGTATGCTTCCATCAACCATACAAGTGTTGAAAGCAAATGATTGTACCTCATTGAGAAAGATCGGAGATATATCAATAGTGCATAAATGGTTGTATAAGATATGGATAACTAATTGCAAGAAACTCCTAGAGGATGAAGAAAATCATAGGTATCTTACTAAGATGTCGCAACTATCTTTCATTATGGTGATTCCTCTATCCCTCTTATCCCATTTGATTTATTAAGGCTGCATTTATTACATGGACTCGACCGGATTGAACTGGACGAGACTAGACAAGCTTTGTACTGCATTTATTACATGGACTCGACCGGATTGAACTGGACGAGACTAGACAAGCTTTGTACGGCTCGTTTCTATATATATATATATATATATATATATATATATATATATATATATATATATATATATATATTCTGTTGAGATTCTGAAAAAATATTGATCTTGAGATTGAACCTCAACCATATATTTCTCATTTACCTCAACCACTCTACCAGTTGGGCTAGAAGATCCATATATATATATCTATATAATATATATATATATATATATATATATATATATATATATATATATATATGCTCTGATACCATTTACTTTGTTAGTAACATATCATTTTTCTATGACATAAATATTATATTTAGAAAACAAATAGTTTTGTTTTTAAATAACGTATTTGTTTGTAACGAATTTTAATACTAGCTGTTATGATCCATCTAGCATCATGAATATGATTATTGTTTAAAATCGTACCTAGATTAGTAGGTTTGTAAGAATCCTTGAGATTTTGCTCAGAATTATTTATGGATTCTTGGATTTGTTGTATTCTTAAAAGAATATCTCTATTAGGAATACAATTCATCAAGATTTTGTTAGACATAATTAAATAATTTAAGCATGAATTTGATTAATTTGATTATTAAAAACGAGTACTATTTTAACAAAAATTTCAAATCTTGTAGAATTAATAGTTAAAATAACTCGAAATGAAATTATCATTGGGAAATAAATTTAACAACAATACAACAATTGAATAAAATCTTTTAGATAGTACCTTCTTGAATTAAGCTTGAATTACAATCAATACATACATCTGGAGAAAGAATTATCTGAAAATCTAGAGACTTTGAACATCTACTAGTAGAAAGAGAGACTCTTGGAGATTTTTTAGACATGAGATGAACATTTTTAGAGAATGAATATTTTTTGCTTGCTTCCTTCTACTGACATATGATGTCTATTTATATTGATCTTGAAGTCTTCAAAGCCTTGAAATCTTGTAGTGAAATTTGTCGTATGATTCAATGGCCAATCAATTACTTGTAAGTGGTTGTCACTCATCTTTTGAAGAAATTGTCGTTTGTAATCAATAAATATCACATTTTGATAAAGCATTTCATCATAGAGCATCTTCTAAAGTTTTTTGTCTTCATATTATCCATCATAGAGCATCTGCTAAAGTTTTTTGTCTTCATATTATTATTGATGATAAGAACAAATAATTTTGATAATATAAATTTGATAATATTTGTTTTATACACTATAAATACATATATAGTGTATATTTACACAGTTTATACACACTCGTATTTGAAAATAATAATTTTGATAAATAGAAGAAACGAAATACCCTACATTGAAGGTATTACACCAAATTTATTGATAAGAATTTCTTATTCTTCATAAGGGTCATTAAAAGGGTCTTGAGCGTCTTGAAATAAACTATTCTTTATAGATTTTGGAGAATCGTCAGAAACCGATTGAGTTTGGCGAATTTCTTGAAGTAAGCTTTGAAGTTCTTCAGGAGAAGAGGTAGCAGCATCTTTAATTCTTGAAATTAGATCCATGTCTCTTTGAGGAAGACTTTTGATAAAATTGGCTTCAACCTCTGGTTTTTGAATATATATTTCTTGATAATGTTTAATTACTGCTTGTTCACTGGCTTGAGAAATCTTCATTTTATCCCACCATTTTAAACGAAGTTGTCGATTAAGCCAGGGAGGAGAGGAATCCTTTGCTTCTTGATAATGAAAAGTCCAAGACATCATCCATGGAAGTTTGAATAACATAGTGAATTGTAGCATATATTCAAATTCTGGAATTTGTTGAATAAATAATTCCTTAAATTTGAGGTATCCATCGTGAATTTCTTTTGGTAAACAATTTGGAAGAATTCCCATATATTTGTACCAATTGATAAACCATCTTGGGTATTCACAATTGAAGTTCAAATCAAAGAAGATAAACCATGAGTGTGAATAATTCCGAATAAAGAACGCCTTAGTCCAGGCATCTTGATAATCATAGTAAGAAAATCTGGGATAAGCAGGATAACGTATAAGAGGTTTTTCAGAATGAAGGTTTGGAACCCAACTTTCTGGAGAAATGATTTTGATAATATGAGCTTTGCTAAAATCAATGTTTCCCTCTTTTGAATTAGAACGATGAACAAAATTAACCGAACCAGATTCTTGCAAAATAGCTTGATAATATTCTCTAGTTTTATATGAATCAACATAAAAGGTTTTCCCTTGACCAAAGAGATGATTTGTGAGAATATGAAAACCTTGATGTAACTTATGGATTTGAAAATCTTCAAGAATTTGAACTCTTAAGAAATTTGGATTAAGAACATAAGGAGTTTTTGTAGAAGGGCTAGGAGTTACAGAATTTTGAGTTTGAGGAGTGATAGGTTTTACAAAAGGGCTTATCGGGTTTGTTGAAGTAACTTTTGGAGTAACAAGTTTTGACTGAAGGATATTAGAATAAAGTTGTGAATTCTTAGAAGTAGGAGTTAAAGGAGAAAAACGATTTTGATTTTGAAATGGAACAAGCTTTTGAGAGAAGGGCTTCTTGTCATCATGTTTGGAAGAAGACGACGAACTCATTTTCCCTGTAAAAATTCTCGAGAAAGAAAGTCGGGAAGCGAATTATTTTCTCCCTTTATGAATTCTATTTCAAAATCAAAGTTACCTAAGAGGGCTTGCCATCGAGCAAAATTTGCTTGAAAATAATATTTTTCACATCTTTTTTTCTAAAATAGTTTTTGTAGATTGACAATCTATTCTTAATAAAAAACTTTTCATAAATAAATCATCTTCAAATTTTTTAATACATAAAACAATGCTTAAAATTTCCTTTTTGACAGTTGAATATTTTTTATGTGTATCGTTCCATGCACCAGAGTAATATCGAACCAATTGTTCTTCTTTTGAGTTAACAAATTTTTGTTTTAGAATTCCTCCGAATCCAATATCACTAGCATCGGTTTCAACTATGATATTGGCGTTGGGATGAGGTAAATTTAAACATGGCAAAGTAGGAACCTTTTGTTTTATATATTTAATTATATCTGTATGTTTTTTAGTCCATGGTTCAGGATTATCTTTTAATCTGTTATAAAGTGGTTTACATATAATCCCTAAATCTTTGAAAAAATCATGGATATAATTTAAGCATCCTAAAAATTTTTGAAGTTGCTTATTATCCTTGATTTCATCAGGAAATTTAGTAGAAAACTGCAAACTTCTTGTAATAGGTCTAATAGTGTTTTTGATAATATCATGTCCTAAAAAACGAATTTCATCTTTAAATAAATGCATTTTTGCTGCAGAGACAGCTAAACCATTTTGATAAATTAAATCATGAAATTGATTTAAATGTTTGAAATGTTGATCAATTGATTTTGAAAAAATTAGGACATCGTCAATATAAGCAATAGCAAAACTACTAATAGGAGTTATGATATCATTCATAATATTTTGGAATTCGGATGGTGCATTTTTTAATCCAAAATGCATTACATTCCATTCAAAATGCCCGAAGGGAACATTAAAACCAGTTTTGTATTTATCTTCTTCATGAAGTTGTATTTGCCAAAATCCTGATTTCATATCAAACTTCGAAAATATGTTTGAATCATAAAGTTTTTTTTAGCAAATTTCGTTTATTAGGAATAGGATAACGAATCCATTCTAAAACTTTGTTTAAAGGTTTATAATTAATAACTAATCTTGGTGATCCTCTTTCTAATTCTGCGGCATTCATAACATAAAATGTTGAACAAGACCATGGTGATTTAGAGGGTCTTATGAGTTTTTTATTTATTAAATCTTGAATTTCATTTTTACAATGACTTTCTAGTTCACCATTCATGTGAATGGCTCTAGATTTTGAAGGAATGTCTTTTTCATCAAAAAAATTTATATACGGTAATTTTACAATATGTTGTTTTCTATTCCAAAAGGCATTAGGAATATTAGAACAGACATTTTTTTCAAATTTTAATTTTAAACTTATTATTTTATTTTGAATATTATTATCATTTAATTGATTAGTTATTCGAACATTATTTATTTCGTTAATAAGATATTTGGCTTGTTGTGTTTTATAATTAAGGACATTAATCGTTGAATATAGAGGAGGTTCACAAAATTTAAATATAATTTCTTTTCCAAAAACATTAGTTCTTATACCATCATCATGAACCATAAAAGGATATAGTTTTGTAATGAAAGATGTTCCTAGAATTAAAGGAGAAGACAGATCTTTTACTAAAATTAGGTGAGTTTTATAACAGTAATCTTGGTTATTACAAATATGAACATCAGAAACTTTATAATTTACAATTAATTTTGTACCTCCGGCACCAGTAAGTCTAGATGCAGTTTTTTCATAGAACTGTGTAGGAAAAATTCCTTCTTGAATACAATTCATATCAGCACCACTATCAATTAAAGCAGTTAGGTTGATTTTAAAATTATCCTTGACTAAAGTAATTTGAGTGTTCTATTTTTGAGAAACTTGATTATTTATAATTTTATCAATAGTTACATTTTCAATTTTATTTTCTTCTTCGTTATTAATTTCTATATTTTTGTTTTTAAAAGTAGTAGGTTTTTCTTTTTCTAAAATTAAAATTTTTATTTTTATTTCTTTTATTTCTTGTTTTACTATTTTTAATTCTTCTTAAAGTTCTTGCATAGAAATTGGCTTTGCTTCAGTAAATCTTTCATATATATGTTTTAAACTAAAATTTTCATTATTAGCAGGAGTTATGTTATTAGTTTTATTAATCTGCATCTTGGATATTTTATCTTTATTAGAGAATCTATCTAGTAATTACATTACATTGATTAGATTTTTACAATGACATTTACCAATACATTCGCAAACATCAGAAACTTCTGAACTTGAAGTAGTATTTTCGAGAATATTTAAATC